CCGAGTGAGAAGTAAACATTTGTACAAAGTTATATTTGTCAAATCTCAGCGAGATTGAAATGAGTAATTCCAACGTTTCGTTCGGCAATCTGGTCCGAGCTTCTTCAGGGAAATTAGTCGAAATTAACATAACAGAGGTTTATATATAAAAAGAACATCACTTGTTTTCAAAAATTTTGTCCAATCATGAGTCATTCAACAAGTATAATAAGCAAAATTGTATGAGCTGTGATCAAAATTTGACCTTGGACTTACAAATATTGGTCTACCTTTGTTAAACACATTAAACAGAGTGTGTATGTGTGTGTGTGTGTGTGGGTAAACAGTTGTAAAACATTTCTTAACGTCTCTATAAGAAGATATGGACAGTCGGGAATTTTGACCAAGTATTAATAATTAGTGATACATATCCATTTTTATTTATTAATAAGGATTTCCTATGCATCAGCTAACATCACGCCTTCATGTCCGTTCGAACTGTTAGTATCTAGAATTTTATGATTAGACGTATTTTCAAAATAAAAAATGGATATGTATCACTAATTATTAATACTTGGTCAAAATTCTCGACTGTCCATATCTTCTTATAGAGACGTTAAGAAATGTTTTGCAACTCTTCACCCACACACACATACACACTCTGTTTAAAGTGTTTAACAAAGGTAGACCAATATTTGCAAGTTCGAGGTCAAATTTTGATCACAGCTCATACAATTTTGCTTATTATACTTGTTGAATGACTCATGATTGGACAAAATTTTTGAAAACAAGTGATGTTCTTTTTATATATAAACCTCTGTTATGTTAATTTCGACTAATTTCCCTGAAGAAGCTCGGACCAGATTGCCGAACGAAACGTTGGAATTACTCATTTCAATCTCGCTGAGATTTGACAAATATAACTTTGTACAAAAGACGTAATTTGTCTGAATTGTGTATTGTGTGTATTTGCGCAACACATTTCGAACAATCTGATCCAGCACACGAGGACTTTTCATAGGAATATATACGAAATTAATAAAGAGCACATTTATAAATGGCTCCAGAAACAAATAGAATCCCCAGAACCCATTAATGCTGAGAACAGGTCACCTGGCTCCTCTGTCGCAAAATATATTATAGACACAGGATATAAAATCGACGTTAACATATCTTTTACAACTATCTATAAGACGTGTTTTAGGCGTATCCTAAAGTTTGTGGAAGCCCTAGCTAGCAGTAAGGAAGCAACAAATCGTCATCATACTAAAGAACCACCTTCCTTGGTAAACTTTATTTTGATACATACCAGGAGAGATGTACTATTGCTTCTCTTATTCGGTTTAGTGATCTTCATTGTTATTTTGACCTTCAATATGTCCTTTTAACTTGACCTAACTTGTCTATTTTATCACCTTCTAACTCTTTATTAATTTCACATATATTCATTCCTATGACATGTCCGTGTGTGTTGGATCAGATTGTTCGAAATGTGTAACGCAAATACATACAATACACGATTCAGACAAATTACGTCTTCTTATTGCTTTGTCTAAATTCATAAAAAAGGGAACTGATTGTTTTAAAGTTAATGGGATAGTTTTTAAATCAATGTAAACTCCAGTAGATTTTGATGTATAGCCGTTCTATGTTTTCCGGGATAGGTAATTTATTTGCAAAATATATATTAATCGTGAAGATAAGATGGAAGGGAACAGCACTACTGGAGCACATATGACTAAACTTGTAGATATTAATCCACTTTATTGTGTAGGAGAAGTTTTACCTGCCATTGATTATTATTATTATTATAATAATTATTATTATTGTTTCCTTTAGTTGCTAGAGGAACATAGGGCTTCAACCACACGTCTCCATTGCGTTCGGTTCTCTGCCAACGTTTTCATCACCTGTCTTTACATCCGCCAGCATGCTTTCATCTCCTCTTCACATCACCCCCTCCATGTCACCCTCACACTCACGACCAACTAACTCGCCGCTTCCTATTCGGGTTCCATTTGAGCGATGGCCTGGCGTGTGATGGATGTCACACACCTAATGGTTTGTTTTCTCAGAGTACGGTCAATCCACCTCCATTTCTTCCTGTATATTTGTTGCACAATTGGTTCCTGCTGAGTTAGTTCGCTCCCAGAGGTGGCGCTGGCTGATCTTTTCTGGCAGGTCATCTGATTTTGAGTAGTACTGAGAGAAAACAGCTCTTGATGAAGGTTTGTAGTTTGTTCGAATTGCTCTTCATGACACGTCAAGTGTGTGATCCGTATAGTAGTGTAACAACAGAAGACAAGTGCCAGGCAACAGATCGTTAATTAAGGAAAATCAACACATATTTATAGATTTTAATGTACATTATTGTAGATTATTGTTAGCAGAAAATAGAGTCTTTTGATTGGTTGTTTCTCACAGAAAGGTAACCTTGCATCTCTTTGTGGCTGTGTCAGATCATCCATACGCTAACTGTATCCGCCTACGCAAAGCCTTTCTTCTCATTTTCTCACCACCAATATTGGGGACATAAACATTGACGTCAATTACTGTCTACCAACTTTGGCTAGCAGCCAGCTCTCACCACAGTAGCACTGACTTCACATTGGAGTTGAAAATCCGAATCTTATTTTTCATGCTGAGTGCCGTTCATCTCCACACAGACTTGAGAGTAGTGAAAGCTTGTCTTGCTTTCCCGATGATCATCGCTTTGATATCTTCATCAGATCTATCCGCCTGTAGTTGAAACGATGCTTCCCACGTAGGTAGGTAAGTAGGTGAAGAAGGTTGATTCTTTCAAAATCCTCCCATTCATTCTGGCTGATTGTTGTCTGTTGTTGTTGTTGCTGTTGGCCAGGAATCTTCATCACTTCTGTTTTATCTATGTTTACCTGAAGGAAGTCCTATCTTCTTTGGATGCTTCTTCCGCGAACTTGTTGCTTTTCACTTGCATATCTTCCAGTTCGTGAGACACCACACATATATCATCAGTGAAATCCAGATTCTTCAAGTTGTTTTGTGTGGGTCCATTTTATGCCTGTTTCCTCGCTGCCTGCTCTCTGTGGCATTATCCAGTCTACTGCAATCAGGAAAATCATTGGAGATAATAAGCACCCTTGTCTGACTCCTGTGTTTACTCCAAACGCCTCGCTGAGTTTTCCGTTGTGGATCACTTGACATGTGCCGTTGTCATACAGCTGTTGAATAAGGTTGATGAATATATAATAGTAGGCAGTTTTGTCTTACTCGCGCCTCCACTTCTTCAAAGGATTGCGTTAGTTTCCCGTTGTGGATTACTTACCTGCCACTGATAGTTAGTATGAAGTACTGATGACATTTGATCAACAAGACTATCAAAATATTCACATTAAAGAACTTTAACCTAGTTGAAAGTGCAATCATCCGACACTTGAGGTATGTACTTAAGACATTGTGTGTTTTTACTAGGTTACTTGTACACAATTCAGAAGGCGTCTTCCATCCTGTTTGTGACTCGTTAGAGTGTGTTCTTAATGAGAATCACACCTGGCATCCTCCATTTTTGAAATGCTAAATCTCTATCCTCAAGGCCGACGGATTATGAGATCTACATCTTACGCAATGGATATCAGTACCTATTCAAGTAATTCTGTAATTTCCTTTTAGTTGTTTTAGCGAGAAACAGGACTTCAAATGAACAAACGAAGAAGACGGAGGCGCTGAAAATACCCGACGACCGAAAACAACAAGAACCAATCACTATTAACTAGGGGAATTAGAATGAATGAGGTTATCTCTTCCACGGATCAGGATGTCAAGACTTGTCAGGTTAGGAAAGTAAAACGAACCTTCATTAATCTGAAATGACTGCTGACATCTGCCTCACTTAGAATATGGGACAAAATTCAGGTTTTAAACACTAGTGTGTCAAGTCAGCCATTGCTTCTATATTTCTTCAGAAATTCGCCTCACTTGTGGACGAAAAACAAACTTTCATCAACAGCTGCCTTCGTTCGCTCTATACTGAAGTCAGGATGACTGACCAGAACGAATAAGTGACAGATAGCGAACCAATCAATAATCTATAGTTTTACAAGTTTGACCACGGATTGATATCAGTTAGCGAACCATTGAAAATCAGTACTGGAGTACTGGACAGCCAGCTGTTTCATCCTAGTTTAGGAATCATCGGCAGTACGCCGCCACTGAGGTTCGAAAAATAAATTTAATTCTCACAAACCAACTATAGAAAATTAATCTGATGCTCGCTAGTGAGTGACTTGCTACAGGACAGAGTTTCCAGGAGTTCTAGTGAGAAGTCGTGACCAGTGAGGTCCATCCAGTCAATTGTGAGGATGGATGTCCCACGGATGACATTGGTTGGTGGTTGCGCTACATCAGGAATTGGTAGAAGTTAGAATTCATGGGTTGGCCATTGAATCGGGTGCCACCCAGTGGCTGAATGGTATACGAGCCAGCTTGCCTTGTAACCGGGAGATCCTGGGTTCGAACCCCTGCAGTGAATGTGCACTGTCGATGATTCCCAAAACTAGAATTAAACAGCTGGTTGTCCAGTACTCCAATACTGGTTTTCAATGGTTCTCTAACTGATATCAATCCGTGCGTGGTCAAACTCGTAAAAACAAAACTAATCCTCACAAACCAACTCTTGAAAATAATCTATTGCCCAGGAAACATGCCGAAGAAATTGGAGATCGACTGAACATACACACTGAAGAGATGTTAAAGTGACATCACACGCTAGGCCATCGTCTTGGAGTGAAACACGAATAATAAACGAAGAGTTTAACGCTGAACCGAGGGTGAACGTCTCAGGAGGAGGTGAAATCTTATGGACAGTCATGTAGCCAGCTGAAGAAGACTGCTGAAAACATAGTGAAATTAAGGTGTATTGCTGGAGGCCTATATTCCACCCAGAGCCCATGGAATTAATGATAATAATGTCAAACAGTAGTATATATCTAGAAACTTTAAATAATTTATCTTCATCAATCGAAGTGTAAAAAACATTTGCTTACCAAAAAGGAATTAATTCCATGAATTCTAGTTAAATCATCTATTTCGTTTAATTGACTTTCATGAATTTCTAAGAAACCAATTCGTATGATAATATCACACCACAATTTTGTATCTTTCATTGTACTTTTATACTTTGTTAAAAGTTCAATAGCTGATGAACCTTTTGGGCATAAAATTGTATCAACTATAGTTAAAATCACAAAGAAAAAAAGAAGGTAAAAATATAATCATAATAATAAAAGTCAAATGTTTAGTAACATTGAATGTTACTGATTTTCAAGAAAATGCTTACTGAACAAAGAATATTTACATTTTCGATAACTTCTTCTTCAAATCATGGAAAATTCCCATTGTAACATATAGAAAATCAAAACAAATGATTCAGCGAAGAGACTCTTTTCAACGAATTTATCATCAAGCTGTACAATTGTTTACATATGGTTTATAAGAAGTTATATCCGGTCATGGAATTGAATCATAGGCGTGAATGCATAAAATAATAATAATAGTAGTAGTATGAAATGCAATTAATATTAAAATGTTTGTGATTATAATCACAGTTAAACGTCAAGTGGCAAAACAAATTAATGTCATATATAGAATAATTCATAGGATGCATAGAACTGGTAAAGGGGGGGGGGGCAATTACAGGACTATTAGATAAATCGAATAAAATAAGAAAAGTTACGCAATATTGTGTGAAATTTAATAGCATAGAATTTAATGTTGTAAAAAGGAATTGATTTAGAATGACAAGTGGAACAAGTGAAATAATACCGGGGACAGTTAAAAGTGAGAGTAGTAATAGTAACAATTGACGTAATAAAGGAAGAGTATACAAATTGAATAGACAAAAATGAAAAATTGGTAGAGCTAAAATATGAATGGAGATTATCATACTTTAGCATAGAGGGATTAAGACCATGAAAGTTGAAGGAGTTGAAAGGACGTTTTCTGTACACAGAGATCTGGTCGATAATGATCACCCTATCTCTATAGCCTCCGCCTTCAAAGTCATCTACAAGGCTAAACGTAATTTACCCAAATCCCTACGTACCCGACTCATCTGTATTGCTGAAGCTTTGGCTATCGAAACAGAAAAGCCAGATCTGTGTGCACAGAAAAAGTCCATTCAACCCCTCCAACTTTCATGGTCTTAACCCCTCTATGGTAAAGTATGGTAATCCCCAATCATATTTTAGCTCTACCAATTTTTCATTTTGTCTATTCAATTGTTACTATTACTACCCTCACTTTTAATTGTCCCCGGTATTATTTCACTTGTTCCGCTTGTCATTCTAAATCATATCCTTTATGCAACATTAAATTCTATGCTATTAAATTTCACACAATATTACGTAACATTTTTATTTTATTCGACTTGTCTACTAATCCTATAATTGCACACCCTTCACCTACCAAGTTCTATCCATCCTATGAATTATTCTATATATGACATTAATTGTTTTGCCACTTGACATTTAACTATGATTATAATCACAAATATTTTAGTTGCGTTTCATACTATTATTATTTCATGTATTCACACCTATGATTCCATTCGCCCACCGGATATAACTTCTTAAAAACCATATGTGTGTATATATGATTGTACAGCTTGATAATAAATTGGTTGTTCGCGAGAGTCTCTTCTCTGAATCACTTGTTTTGATTTTCCAAGTCATATTAAATTCTATCGAAATTAGCTACGTTATCAAATCCAATGAACAGTGACTTAGTCCATTCATATGAATGGGAAATGACGAGTTAGGTGTAGGTTCGATGGTGACGTGGATGAGTTGGTGTGAAGAGGAGATGAGACACTTTGAACAATCGTGAAGGCAGATAAAAAGGATTTATAGAGAGCAAGATGAAATGAAGATGTGTTGTTGAAGCCCTGTGTTCCACTCGTAATTTTAAATTATCTAATCTACCTTTTAGTTCATAAGAATTAGTTAGTCTAGATTTTGAGTGGCTTTTAAGAGGACTTAATACCATGGCTAAATATTTAGATAATTCATAGGTAGGTGAATTTCTAAAATTAGATAATGAAGAAAAAATGGTTAGTTTTGACCTTGTCAATAAATATGGCTTACAGGCAGTCAGAAACGAACTCATTTCTGACCAAGAACTCGAACTTAGGACGAAAGTGACACTTGAGGATATAATGCTGGGAGTGCATCTGTACCTAACATCCACAGTATTTAAATTCCAAGTAAAAACATACAAACAAACTGAGAGATCTGCCATGGGATCAACGATATCCCCAGTTGTAGCAGATATATTCATGGATAGGTGGGAAAACCAAGCGACTGGAACGTTCAACCCCACCTCAAAGTATGATGAAGAGATGTAGATGACACATTCACTGTACTTAGAACATGAGATATATACAGATTTTTTGAACACATTAACTCAAAAGTGAAGGCGATTCACTTCACTTATGAATTAGAAATTCAGGAAGGGGAACTTCCAATGTTAGATTGAAGCAAAATATGGAAGAAGATGGGAAGTTAAACATTAGTGTTTACAGGAAACCCACACATTCAAGCAGATATTTGGATTTCCAATTATCTCATCCTATGTCAGTGAAAGTAGGATTGGTGAAATATTTAAATAATAGAGCACAAAAACTAAGTAGTACCAAGGAAAATCAAGACAGGAAGTGAGAAATAAAGGGGAGCCTTGAAACATAATAATCACCCTGATAAATTAGTCAAAAAGTATGTAAGGAAATGTAAAAATAAAAATAAAATCAATAATAATAGCAGTGAGAGTACTACTACTAATAATAATGACATGCATGTTAAACATGCACAGGATAATAGCAACACCAACAATAGGGAATATAAATCATCAGTAATACTTCCATACAAGGAAGGAACCTCGGAAACCACCTTATGCGGAATTCTTAACAAGGCAGGAATAAAAGTGGCTGGCATTCAAACCCCAACTCAATTAGAAACAAGATTTGTCGGTTAAGGGATCCTGTTGAGCCTTTAAAGCGAAACGATTTTGGTTTATCTAATACCCCGCCTTCAATGATTGTCTGGTCAAATACATAGGTCAAAGTAGTAGAACAGGGCAGTAGAACGGAGCAGCACAAAATCCTAGCAAAATCTATACTAGTTAACCCGAGTAAGATAAGAAATCTAGAAGATAGTTCAGTTATATTGCTCACTACATGCAATTACAAACCACCATACACTAGGGTGGGATAAGATGACAGTTTTAAAATCTAATGTAACACGTTGGAGGGAGGGAGAGATTGGTAATGCAGGCTTTGTTTATCACATCAACTGCAAACACGTGTAATAGGAATGATTAAACACCTTTCCAGTCGGAGATCTGGAAAATTCTACTACCCCAACGACAACAAATAGGAGAGAACAAAGAAAACTACAAAACACAAGTTTCGAATTTGTCTGATTATAATTGGTATGATTATGAACAATAAATAAATTGTGTTCGAAACTTAGTCATCCAGTAAATAATACTGCTGTTTCTGTGACTGTGATACATCTAAAAAACAAACTAAAATGGAATTACTTACTATCACAGTCCCAAAATTTTACACATATATTAGTTTCACCCATCAACGCTGTACGGTAATATTAACTGATGACGTTTCGAGCATAAACTATTGCTCATAATCATATCAACTTGATATGATTAGAAGGTAGAAAAGAGATCCTATGTCGTAAATTCAGTTAAAAGCCGTGCAATTATTATTATTTTTTAAATTTCCTCTACGTTCCCCGAAGAATATAGGGCTTCAAGTAACAGCCCTGAAGATTCTGTAGCAGTGGTGTTTATTTTGTCACGGGATTGGGTTGCTAGCCACATGCCCAACCTCCCCTCTTTATCAGTCTTACTACTGGCTTAACGAGGTGAAGGAGTGCGTCGGCCAGGGATCGAACTCCGAACCACCCACGTGGTTGGCGAGCATTCTACCGCTGGGTCATCGACGCCGTGCAATTATTTAGGGGTTTATATATGTAATATTAATTGACAATAGACATCAGAGGTTACTGTCAATTAGTATGGGTAATTACTATGTTTGATGAATCAAAGAATACCTAATCAAGAGGGTTGATATGTGCCTTATGATACGATGTGATAGGAGTCTACTATGTGCCAAAATGGAATGGACCACTGACAGATTTCCATTGTTTTCTCCCAAGGATCTATCGCATATGCACGGAAGATACATTGAATAAAGAATTGAAATTATTCAGAAATATTTTACATAATATTAATACTATACTACTGACGTTTAGTTAGAGTAGTATATAGTAAAAAGCCGAAAAACATTCGCGCGTGAAGCTATAAACTACTGATTTCTTGACGAGTAAACCCATACTACTTACATCAATCCATAGATTAGAGCTACCCATTTATGCATTAGGATGCATACTGCTAATTAATATGATAAGTTCATTCTAGAGTCTCTTCTTGCTAACTATCTCCAACCAACCATCTGATCCTCAGTATGGAGCCGGCGAACTCAGCAGTTGATAAAAGTCTCCATTGGCCTGTTAAAAATACTTTTCGTGAAGTATGCGCCAAGTTTCCCACCCATATAAAACAGCTAACTGACTTCACATTTGCGTTGAAAATCCGAATCTTGTTGTTGATGCTGAGGGAAGAATATTCAAGATATAACGCACTGTTTCACAAGGCTTTATATCAAATTCACTAATCTAATAAGTTGCAGTTAGCTAAGAATTAAAGTGAACAGACGTTTACCGGATAATGTAAGTTAGCGGACGCCTAAAATCATGAGCTGCCAGTTACCGTCTCTGTGAATCAATGATAACGTATTGAACTTGTAACCTATAAGTCATTACTTAGTTCAGTCCCTTATAAGGTTGTCTGTATCATCGCCACTGCTGATAAGTTTCAAACTAGAACGAAATAGATTTCATAAATTTATTCTCCTTAATGAATCCAAATAACACAAGAACAACAGTGGTTTGTGCAGAATAATATGGTATCATCAGTGTTCATTTCGCTGCCTTCTCATAATCTGCTTACAGCCCAAAGACATTATTAAGCATATCTACAGAAACAATTTTAAAATACTTGCACAGAGTTCATTTTAAACAAAAATCAATCAGTCAATATATGCATACAATAATAAAATATATAATGACGAACACTATCCCGAACACAATGGAAACTTCCGACATTACGTAATCAGATGAAAGAGAGGGTGAAGATATCCAGTTGCCAGGGCAAAGAAAGGCTGATAACTGTTTCTTTCTGAACGCATAAGTCGCGTTTCAGGCGCTTGATGGAGATGGCTTCAGCAAACTTGAGGAGAATTGAACTCTTTTGTCTATTGATAATTTTGAACGATCTTGCGACGTCCACCTCATGACCCGTGTCAAGGAGATGTCTGGCGATGGCACTGTTCAAACCAAACATTTGTTCTCTTTAGACATAAGCTTTTTGGTACATGTTCAGAAAATCGCAGAAATGCCCTTCTTCTTCCTGTCCTTCCAATGTAACTGCTCCCACAGATACATGTAAATTTGTATATACAGTTGGAGTTAACAGGAGAAGCGTATCTATCGATTTTTCATTGCACCAGCAAAGAGCATGTTGTTTGATAGACGGAAACCAGCTGAGCTGCAGGTAGGCTCTGACTAGTGATATATTCAGTCTTCTGTTGACAGTTGCGGTAATATTTGTACCTTTATAATCAAGTTGAATGTAGATTGGCTTTTTCTCCATTGTGATTTTTGACATTTGAGCCTTCAGGTTTCCTGTACTTTTTAATGAATCTTTGAGGGTAACCATTGCTTTTCAACATCTTTTCGAGAAAGATAATTTCTTCCTCTAATTTCTCTATAGAGCATAATCTCCTAGCTCTATACTTTAGGGTCTTGACTAGTCCATGTAAGTATTGTCCTTTCCAAGTAGGATTTCGGCAAATTGACTTCTGGAGACTACCGTCTTCTAGGCGCTGTAGGGCAATGTCGAGGAAATGGAACCTTCCATCATTTTTATGTTCCATAGTAAATTCACTATTGGTATGTGCGTCAATGAATAATCTGAGTAGGTTGGTAGGAAGCATGACTTTCACTGTTGCACACTATAAATGTGTCGTCGACATATCGACAATAACAAGTTGTTTCGTCGATTGCATGCTTCAACTTTGTTCTTTCAAGGTTGGACATGAATACATGTCTGCTAGAACAGGTCTAGTTGGACTGCCCATAGCTACACCATCTATTTGTCTGTAAAGACTGTTGTCAGACTGGAATTTTACATCCTGTCGATACACTTAATAATGTTTTTGCCCCGTAAGCAGCTGATGAGAAGCCAATGAAATAAGCAATACAAGGTACCATTTTATTCTGCACAAACCACTACCCGTTCTTGCTTTAACCAAATAGATTTTTAGCCATCCTCACTATCCCTGTGTATTACTTTAATTGTAACCTACTCATGAAGACGATGACTTCAAAATAAAGGCAAACTGAGTCAATTCGTACAGAGATTGGTCAATTCACGGATTGCTTTCTTTAACATAATCAATAGAACTTACCAATTGTTGTTGTTCCTCCGATTAAGGCTTCTTTTGTAACATTTAAATAAGCTTCTTTATCCAATGAATGAACATCTTGCACCAGATAGGTTGCCATATCAATTCCCCCAGGCATAATTAACATACCACTGGCGTCGATAGTTAATGCATCTGATCCAACTTGAATATTTTTACCTGTTGAACTAAAAAAAAAACGAAAAACAACGACGTCATTGATAAAATCTAATGTGCCATCAAGTTTAACTACGGATCGGTATCAGTAAGAGAACCATCGATCAGCTGGTTTTAGCTAGTTTGGGTTTCTTCATCCGCATGCACTTATGACTTCATTGTCAGGGGTCGAACCCGGGGTCTTCAGGTCACAAGGTGAGCTGGTTGATCATTCAGTCATTGAGAAGAAATCCAATGGTCTATGATAAATTCTAACTCTCACCAGTTAACATCATCAGTGAGTCTTTGTCCTCAACCCCGAGATCTGATGGATCCCACTGCGCACAACTTCTCAGGAGAATTACTCGCGACTTCGCCCTGTAGTTATTTACTAGTGAACAATAGATTAGTTTCCAAACGTCATTTTGTAGGTGTTTGAATGGCTTCAATTCTAATCACAGACTGACTTATTACAGCATCAAGTTGTGACAACTGGGATCCATCTGGTTGGGTGCTATATATATATTGCGAATGTACAGGAGTTAGGATTCATCAAGGGCTGCATGTTCGATGAGCTCGCTTCGTAATCTCCAGTCTCTGGAGATAGGGTCACGTGTGAGTAGTGCCGAAGAGTCGGAGGATAGGGCGAAACAGTTGTCCAGTGGTTTTCAATGGTTTTCTAATTAATATCAATCCCTGATTAAACTTGAAGCCAACCGAATCCCCAAGGCTTCCTGCCGATTGCCTCCAACCATCTAATACCAACAATTCACAGTGCACCGTAATGGCGAGCCACCTAGCATGGTGGCCACATTGCAAACATGACTGATAGAATTCAGTCTGCACCAAAGATAGGACTAGACACATTACACTAGTTACTGACTAGTGTTCAATCAAAAATAACCGAATCCCCAGGGGACTGCCATTTGAAAATATTTTCTCGTTAAAAAAGTATCGGATTCGGTCAGAGTTGTCCATAGGACACTTTATTTTATATTTCTACGACTTTAATACGCATTGTGATGTCAATGTAAATATCAGTGATGTAATTTTATTTCACTGGTCCTCATCAGCTGTAGCCCACTGACTGAAATCACAATGTTTGCAAAAAATGAATGAAAATAACATACTTCAATTAGAAGTTAATTGGTGGATGATGACTAGCAGTGGAATGCAGGACAACGAGCATTTCACCCTATTTGGGACTCGTCATCTGGATGTACCTGCATTCGGCAGTGAGTGATGATGTTCGTACCGGGGCTTGAACCTAGTGCCCATAGTTTCAAACGCCAAAGCGTTATCCAAGAGGTGGTTCTCGTGGCCCGAGTGGTCTAGTGGATAACACTTTGGCGTTTGAAACTATGGGCACTGGGTTCCAGCCTCGGTGAGAACATCATCACTCACTGCGGAATACAGGCACATCCAGTCAGATGACGAGCCCCAAATAGGACGAAATGCACATTCTGGACTCCACTGTTAGTCACCATACACCGATTAACTTATAATTACATGCCCAGACCTCGTCGAAGCATCTGCACAAGAAGCTGACAAACATGTCAACCTGAGACTGAGCACTTCAGTCCAATCAATCGACGGGAAAATCTAAAATTGAATTAAATAACATACTTCAACGTTGGAATGATAACAGAGAAAGTGTTATAAATTAAGTCATTCCAGTGCAGAAGAAGCCAGGGCTTATACTATCTACAAAATAAACTGCATGAACTGTGATAAACACTAATATCGACCAAAAAGGGAACCCCATTCGACTCAGAATCTAGGGACATGAACTAGCTGTGAAAAGACGCGACATCTTTCTTTTCATATCGATAATTGCATATAGTTATGCGAGAATGTAGAAGTTTCAAACATTGGAAACACAATAAGTGTAAGTGGACCCTGTTCTACTACTTTGTCCTGTGTATTTGACCTGATAATCATTCCAGTAGGGTTTTAGATAAACTAAATTGCTTTGTTTTAAAGGCTTCACAGGATTGATCGTGTAACCGACAAAGCTTGTTTCTAATTGAGTTTGTGGGTTTGAATGCCAGCCACTTTTATTCCTGCCTACCTTGTTAAAAATTTTACGTAAGGTTTGCAAGGTTCTTTCCATATATGGAATTACTATTGATGACTTGGATTCCTTTTGTTGGTGTTATCACTATCTTGCGCACCTTTGACCTGCATGTCGTCATTAATATTATTATTATTATCATAATTATTATCACTATCACTACTATCATTATTTATTTCAATTTTACATTTCCCTAGATATTTTCTGACTAATTTATCACGGTAATTATTAAGTTTCAAAGCTTCTCTTATATGCCTCACTTTCAGTCTTAGATTTCCCTAGTTACTACTTAGTTTTGGTGCTCTATTATTCAAATATTTCACCAATCCTGCTTTCACTGACATAGGATGAGATGATAGGAAGTCCAAATATCTGTCTGAACGTGTGGGTTTCCTATAAGCACACTAGTGTTTAACTTACCATCTTCTTTCCTTTTTACGCTATAATCTAACATTAGAAATTCCTCTTCCTGATTTTCTAGTTCACAAGTGAATTGAATCTCCTCCACCTTTGAGTTATTGTGTTCGAAAAATCTGTTTACGTCTTGTGTTCTAACTACAGTGAATGTGTCATCTACATACCTCTACCATACTATAAATTGTGTTCGAAACGTCATCCAATAATACTGTTTCACTGACTGTGTGATATATCTAATAAACAAACTAATATGGAATTACTTACTACCACAGTGCTCAAGTTTGACACCCATACGAATACCGATGATTATGCTATCAGTGTAACCGAAAAAAATCAAAATGTAATCACCAAGGGAATGAGAAACTGATCACACTATTTTTTTCTGTATGTCTAAGCTTGGTGTCCTTTGTAAATTCCATATTTTGAACGATTTAGAGATCTCGACCAAGTGTCGTGTACTCACCAGGTTTATCTTAATTAAACTTTGTGATTATCTGCTTTCCCTTAGGCATGAATTTTTTTTGACTATGTTGAAAACCCAGATACAGGCCATTCTGTTTGTCCTTCCAGTGTATTTACTACCGTAAGTGTATGTAAATTTACAGACTTAGTTTGAGGTGACATAATCGGGTGACTTATCCAGGCAAGATTCAATTATCGTGCATGGATTGCTGTATAAGGATATGAACTTAACTGCATGGCAACATCTCTTTACTCTTCTTTTTATGCTTTCGTCAGTCCTTTGAGATAATGCTTCTCACTAATTGCTTGATCGAAATCAATAATGTGTTACGCTTCTGGATTAGTTATCTGTCAAATAGACTATGTTTATTAGAATACATCCACAGAGAGAAGGTATAGTAGTTATTGAAAGTTCAAAAGTTTTGCAGTAAATTCAGACAAAGATTAATGATGGTAAGCGCATTTGTTTGATTCTTTTTTTGACTATCTACGATGTTCTGTAGTAAAGGAGCAAGAACATTGGAAGGATAAGAAGATTTTTGTCTACTAGGGTGTTTTTGAACACGTACAGAGAAAAGTACGCTTTCGTGGTTCAGCCATGCTTGTTAGTACAACAGCTCGTCACTTAAATGATATTAGTTGGCAGGCTGATACACATAACTAGTTTAAGTCACAGAAGTTGTTGCCCTCAGAGAGAAAGACGCGAATTACGCACTCAAGAGGAGATTACTAATAACTAATGACTAATTCAGTGAGCACTGAATCTTCACTCTTAACCGACTGACTGACTGACTGACGGAGTAAGTTTCAACGTAGAACTTTGCATAGAAGTGCACCAGTTCAAGTTGTCACACTCACAGGTAGAGGACAGAGATTCAAAAGAATCACAATGATCAGAAATGCGCAGCAGAAAGAAAAGTATTACAGGAAAACGTGAAGACTTAACTGATCCACCTGAGCTAAAAAACTTCTTCACTATATTAAAAAGGGTGAATACATTTGTGCCGTGGACATGGATTTTAAGCCATGTTACCAATAGTCTCAAGCCATTAGTTCTCGTAAAACATAACTAATCCTTACAAACCAAACTATAGAAAATTAATCTGATGCTCGCTAGTGAGTGACTTGCTACAGGATGGAGTTTCCTGGAGTTATAGTGAGAAGTCGTGACCAGTGAGGTCCAATTACATGTCACGTGTGTGGATGGATGTCCCACCAACGACAATGGTTGGGGTCGCGCTAAATCACGAATTGGTAGAAGTTAGAATTCATGAGCTGGCCATTGAATCGGGTGACACCCAGTGGCTGAATGGTATACGAGCTTGCCTTGTAACCGGAAGGTCCTGGGTTCGAATCCCAGTGGGTGCGTACTTCCGATGATTCCCAAACTAGGATGAAACAGCAGCTGTCCAGTACTCCCTGGTTTTCAATGGTTCTCTAACTGATATCAGTCCGTGATCAACTCGTAAAACATAACTAATCCTTACAAACCAAACTATAGAACATTAGTTCTTAGCATTTCAAGGAACTTAACGAAGTTGTCAGTGAATAAAGGGGGTAAGACAAGGCTGCTTATTATAACTGATAACATTCTTAATTGTGGCGGACTGGATTATGCCGCACACCGTGTGCGGGGAGTGAGAAGACAGGAATACGTTGGACCACCAATAAGAAGACTGTACAAGATCTCGATATCGAGGCGGATGATTTATGTCTAATTTTACACATACTCGAAGACTTGCAGGTGACAACCAACAAACTAGCTAGAGAAGCAGCAAGCAGTGAAGACAGGACTCTAGGTGAACAGCAACCAACAGCAGCAGCAACAACCGGCACCAATCACTACCAAAGGAAAGTTAATTCCTTATCTTATCTAGCCAGAAAGCACAGTTTCTACCACAGCGGATGGCAAGGATAAAGATGTCTAAGCCAGCCAGAATCTGAAAGGCAAGACAGACCTTTATCAACCAGAAACCAGTTTGGAAATCTTGTGCACTAACTCAGCCAGCATACAGAACAAGCTTCGAATTTTCAACACAAATGTGAAGTCAGTCACTCATCCTATTCGGGTCAGAAACTTCCTCTGCATGTCTCGAGAAGAAAGGTTGTTACAGACTTTTATCAACAGCCTCCACATTAGCTGGCTGGCTCCATACTGAAGATCAAATAGCTAGCTGGCCGTCCAGAAAGAATTAGCAACGAGAAACTCTGTCTGGCAACAAACCAACAGGCGAGAACTGACTGCCCAACAGATATGTAGAATAAAATGGATATGGATCGAGCATGCGTTGAGGAGGCCATCGAGTGTCGTCGCGCGCAGTGCAAGCCATCGACTGAGTGTAATTCCAATGAGCAGCGACGACTGGGTCGTCGGTGCGAGGTTGACATGGAGGAGATGAGAGATTTTTGGCAGTCATGAACACAGCTGACGAGAACAGAAAAGAAATAGCAAAGAGGAGATGTGTTGTTGAATCCCTTTGTCCCACTCGAACCCGAAGAGAATAATTAATAATAACTCGGCAAAGTTGTCTTCACTTCTCCATATGGCTAATTCATATCAAATGTCAAAGACTTCTTGGGCTGATACTAGATTTTATTTTGACCACCCCTAATTCTTTTCACATCACCTATTCTATAATTCATCTCTTTCCTTTTTCTTTTATTTTAAAGACCGCACTTGATGTCTACATTCACCTACTGTTGTTGTTTTAAATAATGCTTAAATAATCTCTTTGTTAACATTCTGTCTAGGTCATTATGTCTGTATAAGCCTGTGCATAATTACGTCACCATTTCCATTTCTGTCTGAATTCATCTTTAAACTCATTAATATTCCTTTTTCCTACCGTTTACAAATACCGCTATTTTCATGGGAATTTTATTTTCCTTACTTTCTGTATAATTTTGAAGTCATATCTCTTTTAAAATGAACTGGTTATCCCTTTAGAATGTGTTGAAAATTATGTCCCAGTTTATTTCCGATGAATTTTTCTTATACTGCAAAAGTTGTCATCATTACGTTATTCAAGACGATTATATTGTCTTTCATTTTATGCGTTCCAGTTAAGACATAAGTCCAAAAGCAACATATCTCCATTTCATTCACTTCTCAACTATCATGCTCAGCCAACTAGATGACTGACCACAAGCTGTCAACTTCTCTTCACATTCTCTTCTTCATGTCACACTCAGACATACGGCTTGTGAATTTCTGTCGACTTGAAGGTCTACTACTCAGCCTATGTCCCACATATCTACATTTTCTTACGTATAATTATTGGGCAGTAGGCTCTCTAGTTGGTTCCCTGTCTGACAGACTTCTTTATGGCTTGTCGTTTTGAGCAAAGAAAGTTATTGATGAAAGTATGAAGTAGACTGTTGGAAGTGCTTCTGATGATGCGTCAGGTCTGTGAACCCTTACAGAACCAGGGACTTAAAGCTCTAAGCATTCAGATCTTGTTGTTTATATTAAGTGTCGTCAATCTCTATAAAGTAAATGTCTGTCTTATATTCCTAATCCGATCCACCTTGTCTTTGAAAATCCATGTGTCGCTTATTATATTTGAAATGATACTGATCAAGTGGTGAGCGGACGAGGTGACCTCCTTCAGATTCCTCCCATTGGTGGTCGGAAATCTTCATCACCTCTATCTTGTCTATGTTCATCTGAAGTCTGCACATGAATAAATGATTTCAATGTGGTCAGTTAGCTCGATTAACATTTCCAGGTTGTAGATGCGATAGGTTCAGTATCCGACGAAGAAGAAATATGAATTCTAAAGACTTCATTTTATTTCACTGGACCAATGTTATATAGACTCTAACGCCTCCCCATCCCCTGAAATAATAATGTACTGTAGACATCTTATAAAGTCAAGAAAAGTTTATTCAATCATTCGTAAAATAAACTCTTTACTTTCGATGGGGATTTATCTAGTGAGATTTTGTTCCAGCGACTTTCCAGGAGTATATGAAGAACGTTTTACTCAGTGAACCTATGTTGTTCTTTCTCTAGTTGACAAATGATTTGGACTCAAACGAAGTATAAGCTAGATAGTCTTGCCACATTTATGTGTATTTATCAGTCCAACTGCTCTTGTGATGATATTTGTGTTGGGCGTGCTACTAGGCAGCTTAACCGACATGTCACTACTAAACATCTTATATCGTTCTTTGGTAAAAGATAAGCGTAAATCATCCTAAGCTCTGTTTTGTCACATTTAGTTGACAGTAGTCATTAGGTCGGGAGAGAGGAGGAGAAAGCATTCAAGGTTATTTATAGCATCCCACCGAATCTTATGAATGGAATCCATATAGCCTAAGTGATAGGTATTCGACCTGTTAAGACTAAACCATGCCTTCAAAAAAAGTTCGCACCTCTGTTGTCTCTCCTTTGGCTTATTAGGACTTGACCAACTGATAATGTCACCACCACTAGCCTATACTTGTTATTCCTTAATCTTATTACATCTTCATTGAAATAAAGTTTATATTTACTTCCCTTAAACTCAAGCATTTACTTAGTGGGACTGTTTGCTATTCTTAGTCTTTATCGACTACTTCTACCTGAAAATTTGCTTGTTTAATCATGCTGTTTTCTCTTCATTATTCTTGTCGTCACAGGCTGCTTCAATTATTTTCATCTTCGTTATTTATGGATTTATTGTTATCATTGTTACTATGACCAATTGCACAATTCATGTGCACGATCTTTTCATCCCATTGACAACTCACCACGATAGCTATTTATTTGTTAAGTTATGTAGGTATATTAGAATTAAGCTTGATGAGATCTAGTTGAAAGTAGTATTGTTCGCTGCCTGTTATCACCAATGATATTCCTAATTGTGGTGGACCGGATTATGCGTCAGACAGTGCATGGGAATGAGAAGACAGGAATAGGCCGGACCATCTATACGAAGACTCTAGATGATCTCGCGTTTGGATGATTTATGTCTAATGTCACACAGAGTCGAAGACTTCAGGACAAAATCCAACAAACTGGCTGAAGAGGCAGGCAGAGGAGACAGGACTACAAGTGACCATAGAGAAGAGGGAGGTGATGAAGATAACCAACGAACAGCAACAACAACAACAAACAGCAGTAGCGATCACCACCGACGAGAGAGATTTGAAAGAGGTTCCTTCCTTCACTTATCCAACCACGAATCACGCTTTCAATCGCAGGTAGTCAACACGAATAAAGATGTCAACCAGCCAGCCAGCTAGACAGAATCGGAAAGGCAAGATACACAGGCCTTCATCAACCTGAAATCAGTTTGGAAATTGACTGCACTGCACTCAGCCAGCATAAACAACAAGATTCGGATCTGCAGCACAAATGTGAAGTCAGTCACTCAGTCAGAAACCTGCACTGCACACTCGTCAAGAAAAGTATTTCCAACAGGCCATTGCAGACTTTCATCAACAGCTACCACCTTCGCTGGCTGGCTTCAAACTGAAGATCAAATTGTCGGTCGGCCTACTGGCCAGAAAGAATTCGCAGCAAGAAACTCTGGCTGGCAATGAACCAACAGGCGAGAGCCGATGGCTCAACAAATATGTAGGATTGGTTGGAGTACTTCATCATGAGCTGATATCCGATAGAGAACCTTCAGAAAACCCGCTGGCAGTACTGCACTGCTGTTTCACCCCAGTTCTGTACTCTTCATCATTACGCACCCACCACACGAGTCAAAACCCAAAACCTTTTGGTTACAAAGCCAGCGAGATCTTAGACCATTAAGCCAATGGAACTCGATTCAGTGGCCAGCCCATGAGTTCTAACTTCTGCCACTTCATGGCACAGCCCGACAACTTCGCAATGTCTTCTTCGATGAGTTACTGACTCACCTTCAACCTGGTTTCGAACCTCTGTCAATGCCTATTGATGAAGAGTTCCAAACTAGACCGACGAAACAGCTGTCCAGTACTCCATGCTGGTTCTCCAATGGTTCTCTAACTGAAGCCAGCTCATGATGAAATCCTTCAACCAGTCGAATAAAATCCTTACAAAACCAATACTTGAAAATACACAGAAGTAAATGAAGATGGACTGGGCACACACTGAGTAGACCGTCGAATAATATCACGCACAATGCAGGTCACTGCTTGAGTAGAAGCCGAATAGGAAGCGACGACTGAGTCGTCGGTGCGAGGAAGGATGACATGGAGATCATGAGTGGAGAAGGAGGAGATGAGAGATTATGTGCGGAGACAGCTGAAGAGAACAGCTAAAAATAGAACAAAGTGTAGATGTGTTGCTGAAGCCCTATGTTCCACTCAAAACTCAAGGGAATAATAATAATTATTATTATCTAACAAAACGCATAGTCTAGGTGACAATAATAATAATAATGGTAGCAATAAGGATAATGATAATAATAATAATAAACATTCCAGCTTACTTACACAACTTTACCATCTTCAATCAGTATGTCAGCATATTGTATATGATCACTATTCACCAACTGTCCACCCATAATATAAACTTGTTCTTTCTAAAATAAAATGAAATGAAGGCATTTACAAATTATCATAAATTATTTCACATAGTAAACACAATTTAACATAAAAACGTATCTATGTCACAGTTATCCAAACTGTAAAGCAAGTTTACTTTACAAACACCTTCTCATTGAAAAAAACTTCATGTCTTGATAATTTTCTACCGGTTTTTTTTGATGAAATCAGAAGTGCGTAAATCAAATTTAGAAAATTTGCAGAAATTACTACAACGCAGTTAGAAATTCACATACACACAAACACATAGTTCGAGTTGATGAAATTTCATAAAATATTTGCCGTCGGGAACCAAAGTTGTTGAGATCACACATCATGTGATCAGCTCGATACCAGGAAATGCAATCAAATGCTCGCTAGTCACTTGCTACAGGATAGAGTTTCCTGGAGTCAGTTCTAGTGAGAAGTCGTGACTAGTGAGGTTCATCCAGATGTCACGCGTGAGGATGGATGTCCCACTGAAGATATTGATTGGGGTCGAGCTAAATCATGAATTGGTAGAAGTCAGAATTCATGCCCTGGTCATTCAATCGGGTTCCAGTGGCTGAATGGTATATGAGCCACCTTACCTTGCAACCGGAAGGTCCTGGGTTCGAACCCTACCAGTGGATGCGTAGTACTGGTGATTCCCAAACTAGGATGAAACAGCTGTCCAGTACTCCAATGCTGGTTTTCAATGGTTCTCTAACTGATATCAATCCGTGATCAAACTCGGAAAAACAAAACTAACCCTTACAAACCAAGCTATAGAAAATGGCAATTAATTGAATCGAAATCCAACTACTGATATAAATCAATTAGTAATATATGGCGTCAGTGGTGAATAAATCTACTGTTTTGAAACTATTCTGTTAATTACCTGCTGATTTTACTGAATTTATTGATCAGAGAGACTCAAAAACATGGAATGGATAATAAGTAGTAACTGATGTCATGCCTCTAGTGCTTGATTTGGTGTGGACTGCAATGTGACCACTATACTAGGTGGTTCAATATATCACAGTGTACTATGCATTGATATTATTAGATGGCTCGAGGCCGTCGGTAGAAAGCCCTGGACACCTGGGTTCTGGGCCTGTTGGTACGCGTCGGTAGGGCGGATCTGCGACCACCTTGAAAGAACCAATGTTCCCTCTGAGATTCGAACCCGTATCACCCAGTGAGTACTGCAGTCATAGACGTTGCCACTGAGATATTTGGTCTCGTGATTGACCTCCTGTAGAACTGAACGCATTGGATATTTTTTGATTGGACACTAGTCAGTAACTTGTGTAATGTGTGTTTATCTAGTCCTGTCGTTGGTGCATATGGAATCCCAGCAGTCAAGTTTGAAATGTGGCCACTGTCATAGGTGGCTCGCCTTCACGATGCACTGTGAATTGTTGGTACTAGATAGTCGAAAACCATCAGTAGAAAGCCTTGGATGTGGGTTTCATGCTAGTTGGCAGCTAGTTGTTATTATTGTTTCCTTTAGTTCCTAGAGGAACATACGGCTTCAGCCACACGTCTTCATTGAGTTTGTATCTCCACGAGCATTTTCACCTGGCTCCACGTCTGCTTACATAGTTTCATCTCCTCTTCGCATCACCTCCTCCATGTCACCGTCGCACTCACGACCAACTCGTCGCTTCCCGTTCGGCCGGGTTCCACTCGAGCGATGGCTTGGTGTGTGGTAGATGTCACTTGATGATGGTTTGTTTTCTCAGAGTATGGTCAATCTACCTCCATTTCTGCATGTATGTTTTTTGCACAATTGATTCTTGCTGGGTTGGCTCGTTCATTCCCAGAGATACCTGTTGCTGATCTTTTCCGGACATCTGATCTTGAGTAATATTGAGCGAAGACAGTTGCTGATGAAGGCCTGTAGTTTGTTCGAAGTGCCCTTCGTGACGCGGCTCGCACCAAATCTCTGATCCGTGTAATAGCACTGACTTCAAACTGGAGTTGAAAAGCCGGATCTTATTTTCCATGCTGAGTACTGTTGTTCTCCACACAGACTTGGGAGAAATGAAGGATGGCCTTGCTTTGCCGATCCTCTCTATGATGTCTTTATCAGTTTCATCCTCCTGTAGTTAAAACGATGCTTCCCAGATCGGTAGATAGGTAGGTGAAGGAGGTTGATTCTTTCAGATTTCTCCCATTTATACTGATTGTTGTCTGTTGTTGTTGTTGCTGTTGGTGTTGACCAGGAATCTTCATCACCTCTGCTTTTTCTGTGTTCATCTGAATGAAGTCCTATCTTCTCTGGATGCCTTTTCTATCAACTTGTTGCTTTTCGCTTGCATATCTTCCAGTTTGTGAGAAATCAGACATATATCATCGGCGAAGTCCAGATCCTCCAAGTGTTTCGTGTGGGTACATTTTATGCCTGTCTCCTGGCAGCTAGCATACTAAGGAATATCTGCAATCTTAAGGGAAATTATGTCACTTCTGAGTTTGACACTTTTTGGCAGTCGTCATCAAACCGTATTTCTAAAGCTAAAGGGGTTCGTTGCCGCCATAGAGATTCGTATTCAAATCACTGAGAAATTTGCGTTACGTGACTAACTTCTGTAATTCTTTACTGTTCCCCGCCATCTTATTCTTTTCCGGGCACTTTAAGAAAGTTTTTTATATACTGCGTAGGACGCTAAAAGCCGTCAGTAAGGCGAGTGGGGTATTGCTAAACCAACTCATTAGTACTATTGTAGATAGACACTTGGATTCCTACAAAAAATTAGTAAATATTATCCTGTCAGACACTGAGCATCCTCTCCATACACAACCCCCCCCCTCTTGTAACTCATTGGGTAGAACTAGTAGCAACTATAGACGACTGTATGCTCGGACGACTAAGTACAAAAACTCTACAATACCTTATTCGGCAGGCACACATTTTATGCGATAAGAAAAGTGTGTCACATAGGAAATTACCAGCCTACTGAGGAACTCTAAGTAAGCGGCATTGTTTTTTTTGTTCTCATTATTACATTGTCGCTAATATTTTCACTTAATTTAATTTTATATTCACTTCTTAATGAACAATGTTAATAATGTAAATGCCCTTATTTTAATTATTACTCCTGTCATAAAGAAAATAAAGGACAAATTCAGCGAAGAAAATTTTCTTTATCGACGAGATCATCTTCACAGGCTGGCTGTACATTCGTATTTATATCTACCAAAAATGTACACTGGTCTAATATTGAGTAAAAGGTTGGGGGGTGACATAATTGATACAGTTACTCGGAAGTGGCTTTAGAATTAAAAAATTAAAAGTTGTAAATTACGTGGTACTCAATGGCACAAAGTTAGAAATTTGATAAGGTTAAAATTGTGCTATTGAATGAGAATAAAGGTAGTTATGTCACCCGCTATATTACTCAATAATAGACCACTATACATTTTTGGTAAATATAAATACGACTGTACGGCAACCTGTGAAGGTGATTTGGTCGATAAAGAAAATTTTCTTCATGACTCAAAGGGTATTTTCGGTGATTTGAAGCAGAGCCCTGTGAACCCTGTGACAGTGAAAGAACTTGATAAGTTGGCTAAGCTTTCTGTCAATATTGTCCCTGTAATGAGGAAATAAGATGTCATATTGTATTACATGCTGAAAATTCCATATTTGTACCAAAAGGACTGTTTGGAATAATCCTATTACAGCGAAAATATTCATTCAGACATCTATAAAACACAAAATGATTGAGCAGAGAATATCCTTTTCTCTAATTTCCTCTTCTGGCTCTACAATTATATATATGCATGTTTATATACACAGAATATTCTAGATTAGCAGTCAATAACAATATTAGGGTTTTTTAAATAATATCGATTTGTAAAGTAAGATCACAATGGAATTACAGTTCATGAAAGATGCTTAAATTATAATAATAATAATAAAGATATAATAGCAAATAGAATATCAACTAAAATTAAGGGAATTTCCACAAAAATTGAAGATCATTCAAACCTAGATGGCCAAGGTAAAGATAACGTCTGAACTAACTTCTTTTGGATGCACAAATTAGGCTTGTTAATATGGATCCCAACGGCCAGCCTCAGCAATATTTAGTAGTCGAACTCTTAAGGAGAAATTGAGATTCGTAGGTATGCGGTAAATGACCCTAAAAGCGTGGTTGACATCAATCTTGTGTTCTGTCTCCACAAGATGAGATAGAGTAGCGCTGCGGATAGATTTGGTTTGTCCTTTACTTAACCAACCACACAGGGTGATGTTCGAAAATTCTACGGGAAACACGCCTAATTGTACGGCGTATGTAACTGGCTCACTCCACAGGAGCAGTTGAATTGGTAGATACAAATGGAAGAGGAGAGAAAAAGCAGTTTGTATTTTACTCCCGAACGCAAGAGAGGAGTGGTTTTGAAGACACAGCGTAATTCGGCAGCAGTGAATGCTCTTTTTACCGCATTTCTAAGGCGCTGTGTTAGTATCTCGCTGATGTTATCTCCAACGTACTGAATTTATAAGAATAAGGCCTTTTTAGGAACTGTTAGTACCTTTGGCTGCCTTGATTTTAGATTCATCTTCTTATCAACAAACTTTTCTAGATATCCATTTTCACTTAGCAACCATTTAATATTATTACGTTCCTCATCAAGACATTCATCCGAGCAGATTGCCCTTTCTCTGTGAACCAAGCACTTTATCAGATTGCGTTTGTATTTATTATTTTTATTTTGATTACAGCATTTTTGGTACAAGTATGGAATTTTCAGCATGGATATCGGTAGCCCAAATTTTGCAGGCCGACCATAGATATCGGGTGTGCGTCGGCAAGGAAACGAACCCCGAACCATGTGTATGGTCGGCGAGAGCCGTAACCACTGTGCCATCAACGCACATTTGCAATAGAATCACAAACATTAAGTATCCACTGGAAACTAGGATAGCCGACGTCCCTCTTAGATACTAAATGCGTTCATCGATGGCTGACTATAGCAGCTAAATGAATCATGAGTCATTATTTAAGAA